GATGGTAAAGCATAAACACTTACCGAGTACTCCGAGCCAAAGAAAGAAGCTAATTAGAAATCATGCATGATCCTAACTATGCTGAAATGCCTAATCACCCCCCTCTGATTTTATGTAATAACCCGACCCTCGTACATGTTCATGGCATGTGAAATGCTACAACTAACAAGTATTCAACTCGGAATTGAAATACAATGCAGTTAGTATGATGCGCCGAGCCCGGTGCATGGAAAGCAGATGAATGAATGCAAACATGCGAGCATAAGTATGCTAATTGAAACATGCCCTAATCTAACCATCATAAGCAGATAAATAAAAGGGAGAAAGATGTGGGGTTGGAAGACATACATCACACACACACACTTATTACAAAATTGCCATCCTCGGAGGGTCCGAATAAATAATACAGTCCAAATAAATACTTACAGTCCGAATGAATGATTAAATATTACAAAACCCTAATTAATTAACAAATTAACTTGGAAAGCAAATAAACTAGCATGCAAATTCATGGACCGCCTCAGCTCTGTTCTGAATGATGAAAGATGCATGCTCGAGTTGCCTTGCGCAGAAATCCATTGCGATGCCCCGATTCGCCTCTGTTTGCAATTAATTCCGGAATGCTGTGCAAGGCTTTATAAAGTTGCTGATTTTTGATTTGCTGCAACAGAGAGCAAGAAAGGGGCATGGCAAAGTATTTCACATACGTATGCAGACCTCGATTCTCGTGTCATCAATCACGCATCTCGATGCACGATGGTTGAGGAGTCGAATTGCACGACTCGATGTGAAATGGATGCATGTATAAACACAACAAGGCCTAGACTCCATCATGGTTAATCCGAAGTGTCGACGACCGGGAATTGAGACACGTTTCGTCACTTGGAGTACGAAACGTCCCTCGTTTCCTGTGCTCGGGCTAACCCTATCCCAAACACAATGCAAATGAGATGGCATACACAATGCGACTAACATGTAACCAAGTATATGCAATGCTATGGACTAAAATGGCATACACGATGCACGTGATATAACATGGCATACACAATGCTCTAACATGCAACCTAGCATACGCAATGCTATGGACTAAAATAGCATACACGATGCACGATGGACTTACACCAACATGAGTGGACCTCAGCCACACCCATATCAGTGGCCATATGATGGAAATGAGACAACCGAAACACATGCAAACATGCACAATGCAAGGGATCGATCCTAAGGCATCGAATGCCATTCTACCAAAGCATGGAAAAGAACGCGATATGGCATACAAACACACAAATTCTAGCTCTGAAACATGGTATAAAATGGTCCCGAAACATGCAAACATGGCACCCAATGCAAGCTAGGGGTCCTGGGTACCGAAACTAGTGAAGTGCGTTACTCTAGAGGTACCCGAAACAATGCACTAATGACAAAATCAACCCCAAACAGACCCTAGGTAGGTCTGAAATAGTGGGGAAATGGCCTAAAATGATGGCTCGGAATGCAGCGAAATGGAGCTCATTCAATGGTCGATAAATGAGGCATACAAGCCCGACTCTCAAACGCATTTAAAGAGTACAAAACATGACAATATGGCATTCAAAGAAGCTCTGAAATATGATGTATAATGGGTCCAAAACATGAACACACCTCAGTATATTCATGTAATGGACCCCGAAACTCAAAGCTAAGCAAGTGTATTGGACCACAAGTATGCAAAACAAACACCATTCGACCATGAGACCCAAAAACAGAGCTAGGGCCGTCCAAAATATGCACAAAATCAGTTTAAGGCATGGCCAGAATGTGCTAGAATCAAGGGTCAACAAAGCATGCATAGAAAGCTAGTGAACCATGATTTACACTATAGCTATATGAAGCACATGAGGGCTCACCAAACCAGCCAAAAAGAGAAGTATGCCATGCTAAAATACACCCAAATAACCACTGAAACTCAATCTATGCATGTTATAATGAGGTGCTCCTTTGAGAAGCCAATAAGAGGGTTGTTCAAAACATGTATGATGGACACACAAAATGGCAAAATGGCCTCTGGACAGAGCTTATGAGAGTCCTAAAACCCACCAAACAGACCTTGAAATTAGTCTAGGAAGCATGCAAATGAAAGCACCTTTGAAAGGCCTTGGACGGGATTGCTCTACACATGCAAAATAGGCACTTCATATGGTGAAATGGGCTCCAAACAGAGCCAAGGTAGACCTTAAAACTCACCAAGTAAGGCCTGAAATGTAACTTCACAACATGCAAGTAGGAGCCCCTTTGGAAGGCCAAAAGGGCCAACAAACAAGACAAAGAGAGAGGGGGTCACCCCCCTCTGATTTTATGTAATAACCCGACCCTCGTACATGTTCTTTGTTATATTTTCGGATCCTATTTTGTGATTTGAATGCTTACTGTGAAATCCTATCGGAAATTTAAATTAAGTAAGTGAACCATATGATTAAGGATGTCTATCTGTTCAACAAGAAAAGTATCTGTTACATTAGAAGGTTTGAATTGAAATTGGAGGCCTTAAAGGCTTAATTATCTGAAATTGATTCTATACATGTGATAAGCATAATTTTTAGGTAATATTAAGCATTTTTGGGAAATTTCAATTCCGGATGTTTAAACGATTGACTTTTGTCTTATTAGCTCTTATTAGCTCTTATAAATATGTATGCGTTCTTTAAGCTTGGGAGTGAGTTCAACATATTTCCTGGAAAATGATAGTAAGAGTAGAGAGAAGTGAGAAGGGAGTTCCAATAAAGGCTAGAGATTGAATAACCTAGAGAGACTTTGGGAGATCTCAACTCAAGGTAAGTTTGTCTATCTTTTATAATTCCTCTCTTGAATTTGAGGGTGATACAACCATGATAATTGAACCCAAGGTGTAATTGGATCATGTTTTATCCATTGGATGAGTTTGAACTAAGTTGTTTATGTATGTATGTGGAGAAATTAGTTTTGATTTCTTACTTTCTCATGAAAGATCATGAAGAACTTACCTTATATACATATGTGATGGTATATGTGATGTTGATGCAAAAAAGGAAATTGGATTGTGGGTGAGAGTTTAAGAACTCTTATGGACTTGTGTATGTTGAACTAAAGTATACTAGTTTGATGTATATAATTGTCATTGTATTCATGTGAATTTGGGTCATGTTTTACCAATTAAGAAAGTTATTTTGAGCCTTGTTCATGTTTTCCAAAAGATGGGATTTTGTAAGAATTTTCGGACAATTTTGGGCAGAATCGCCACACGTGCAGGGGTCAAGGCCGCACGTGCGGGAGGTGCTGCCGCACGTGCGGGAGTCATGGCCGCACGTGCGGGAAATGGTGAAAAACAAGGGCTTGGCCACTGTCTAAAAGGCACGTGCGGGACATTTTGCCGCACGTGCGGGAGAGCTTGCCGCACGTGCGGGGCTCACAGCCGTACGTGCGGCCCATGCTGAAAAACGTGGATCGCTCCGTTTTGCGTGTAGAACCCTCTTATGTTGTCGGAATATGTATTTGATGCCTTTTAATATGTATAAATTTCTTCGAAGTAAAACGAAACAGAAAGTAATATGATATAAAAAGGAAACTAAATTGTAAAGGTTGAATGTGTTCAGGGCACACTCCGGGAGGAACAAGCACATCATCACAACACTGTGAGTAGTAATATCATTATCCGCTTCACATATGGCTACTGATTTTCATTAGCATTTCGCTTACGCAACTATGTTAATGTTTCAAGTATGCAACTATGTTCATATTTCAAGTATGTATGTTAATGTTCAAGTATGTTCCAAGTATGTAACGAAAGAAATGGGAAAGATAAAATACCTTCCTTCTATAAGACTCTGGGCCTACGGCCATTCAATATAAGTTGTTATGATATGAAACAAAGTGCTACACGGAACTAAGTGCTACGACGTGAGCCACCTCTAGAATCCGTGTGAGACACCTCTTGAGTTCGTATAAGTATATTCAAGGGCTTAGTGCCAAAATATCCAAAGGCGTAACGCCACTCTGTTTAAGGGCCTTGTGCCACCATGTTTAAGGGCCTTGTGCCACCATGTTTAAGGGCATCATGCCACCATGTTCAAGGGCATTATGCCACCATGTTCAAGGGCTTCAAGCCATTATGGTTTACGATGTGATATGCCAACTGTTATGTTCAAGATTGGGCCTAAGGCCGTTATAGGATGAACACAGAATCAAGCTAACTATGTGACCTCTGCATCTCCATATGTATTGATAAATGTCATGTTTCAAGTTGAGCATTGTTTCATTTATGTATTACTATTCACTGAGCCCGGCTCACTCTCTGTTATGTCTGTTTCTGAATGGGTCATGCCCGAACTTTTAGGGGCAAGTTTGGGGTGTGACAAGTGGTATCAGAGCACGAGTTGCTATATCACACATGGATCCATTGAGCTTTAGGGTGTCTAGAAAAGCTTTAGGCATGTTGCATGACATCCTGAAAGTATGTGAAAGAGCGATGGCAACGTTAAGTCCACTCTAGTAATGCTAACACTTTTGAAATATGTCTATTGTGTATAAATGATTGTTGTCCAGGCAATGGTGAGAACAAGGACAGAAGATACAGAAGATGCTACTACTGCCCGGCTGGATAGAATGGAGAGAATGATTATGGAAATGGCGGAGACCCTTTGGCAACAACAGCAACAGCCACAATAACCACCACCACTGGTCCCTCCACCGGCAGTACAAGATTTCCATGCTGAAGACCGGACTATCACCCTTACTAAGGAGTTTAAAAAGATGAAACCGCCATCCTTCAAAGGAGGAATAGAACCAATGAAAGCTGAGGCGTGGGTGTTGGGAATAGAGAAGTTATTTGAAGTCTTCACTGCACAGAAGCTCAAAAGGTGCAACTGGCTGCCTTTACTCTTGAGGATGAGGCACGCAGATGGTGGATGCTTACGAGAACTGTACACCAAGGATTGACATGGGACAGATTCTTAGAATTGTTTTATGACAAGTATTTCCCTCAAAGCATGCGGGATAAGAAGGTAACAGAATTCGAAACTCTCAGGCAAGGGAACAAAACCGTCGCCGAATACGAAGCCCAATTTGCGGAATTAGCTCGGTTTGCACCTCATATGGTGGACATGGATTATAAGAAGGCGCGCAAATTTGAAGGGGGATTACGGAGCGCTATCCTGGATAAGGTCAACATGTTGAAGTTACCTACGTACGTTGATGTGTTGGAGAGAGCCGTTATAGCAGAAGGGAATCTTGCTACTCAGAGTCGAATTTCGGAATGGAAAGGGAAGAGGCAAAATACTCAATGGTCGAAGGGATCACCTACTCCCCAAAACAAGAAGCAGACTTTAGGGAGTTTAAATACTACTACCCCTAGCCAGGATTCAATGCCGACATGTCCGGAATGTGGGAAGAAGCATCATGGAACGTGTTATCGGAAGTCTGGAGCCTGTTTTCAGTGTGGTAAGACGGGTCATTTGATCAAGGATTGCCCTCAAAGGAATCAACAGAGTAATAATAGGACCGCTATAAGTTCAGCGGGGTCTGCACCAACTTCCAACACCAAGGCAACTGCTAAACCTACTAATAATAAAGACACTGCGAGACAAGGCAGGGTGTTCGCATTGGTTCTGGGAGATGTGCAAAATGCGGCTACAGTGGTGTCAGGTACATTTATTGTTCACGGTCATTTTGCTCATGCATTATTTGATTCTGGCTCCACCCATTCTTTTATGTCGAAACTATTTGCTCCTAATTTAGATAAAACTGAAGAAAAACCGTCTTATATGTTGTGTGTGTCTTCACCTTTGGGAGGTCCTATGATTTGTACTTCTGTATATGCTGCTTGTGAACTCCAACTTGGGGATATCCGGGTATATGCCAATCTGTTACCTCTTGATATGGCCTATTTTGATATTATTCTGGGAATGGACTGGTTGGGTGAATATGGTGCAACTATAGATTGTTTGACTAAACAAATCAGTTTCCACCCTCCGGGACAATCAGAGTCTACCTTTTAGGGACATGGAGTGACTTCTCCACCTTATTTAATTTCCGCAGCAAGGGCTTGTAAATTAATTCAGAAAGGGTGCCAGGGGTATTTGTGTAGTGTTCTAGAGGGACAAGTGGTGAATGGGAATACCGACATGATCCCAGTTGTCTGTGAATTTTCGGACGTCTTTCCAGAAGAATTACCAGGGCAGTTAATAGACCGTGAAATTGAGTTTACAATTGAAGTAGCACCGGGAACTCAACCCATTTCTAAGACTCCATATAGAATGTCACCAGTTGAGATTAAAGAATTGAAAATGCAGTTGGAAGATTTATTGGACAAAGGATTTATTCGTCCGAGTGTATCTCCGTGGGGTGCACCAGTTTTGTTTGTAAAGAAGAAAGATGGAACACTCCGGCTTTGTATCGATTACGGAGAACTTAACAAAGTCACAATCAAGAATAAGTATCCATTGCCAAGAATCGATGACCTATTTGATCAGCTTCAAGGGGCACAGGTCTTTTCTAAGATTGATCTACGGTCTGGATACCACCAATTAAAAGTCAAGGCTGATGATGTTGAGAAGACAACCTTTCGAACCCGGTACGGTCACTATGAATTTTTGGTTATGCCCTTTGGAGTTACTAACGCCCCAGCAGCCTTTATGGATTTGATGAACCGCGTCTTTAAGTCCTATTTGGATGAATTTGTGGTGGTCTTTATTGACGATATCCTCATTTATTCAGAGAATGCGGAAGCTCATGAGACCCATCTTCATTTAATTCTTCAAACCCTCCGGGAAAAGAAATTATATGCAAAGCTAAAGAAATGTGAATTCTGGTTACTCGAGGTGGCATTCCTAGGGCATGTTATCACAAAGGAAGGAGTTTCTGTTGATCCACATAAAATTGAGGCGATTGTGAAATGGCCGACTCCTATCAATGTGACCGAAGTACGTAGTTTTATGGGGTTAGCTAGCTATTACAGGAGATTTGTTCATGATTTTTCCAAAATTGTTGTGCCACTTACACAATTGACTCGAAAGGGAGTTGTATTTGAATGGTCAAAAGAACGGGAGTCTGCTTTCCTGGAATTGAAGATGAAGCTAACCACAGCTCCAATCCTGGCTTTACCGTCTGGTACCGAAGGGTTTGTAATTTACAGTGATGCGTCCCATAAAGGATTAGGGTGTGTGCTTATGCAAGGTGGAAGGGTTATCGCCTATGCTTCATGACAGCTTAAACCCCATGAAAAGAATTATCCCATGCATGATCTTGAGCGCGCAGCGGTAGTTTTTGCTGTAAAGATATGGCGGCACTATTTGTATGGTACTACCTGTGAAGTTTACACCGACCACAAAAGTCTTAAGTACCTTTTTACCCAGAAGGAATTGAACATGCGGCAGCGTCGGTGGTTAGAGTTAATTAAAGATTACGATTTACAGATCCATTATCATCCTGGTAAGGCCAACACGGTTGCAGATGCTCTTAGTCGGAAAAATATGGGAGATTTGGCCAACCTGTTTACGGAGCAAAAGGAATTGGTAAGTGAATTGGATAAAATGAGTGTGGAGTTTAAGATACATGGACAGGAAACAGTACTAGCAGCAGTTATGGCTCAACCGACTTTACTTGAAGAGATCAAGTCACATCAAATGGAGGATGACATTCTAAAGAAGGTATGTGATGAGTTAGAGAGAAAGCCAAAATCGGGGTTCAGTTTAGTGGATTCGGTACTCAAATTTCAAAATCGATTATGTGTCCCCAATGTGTTGGAACTTAAATGGAAATTGATGGAAGAAGCACACGCCTCAAGATTTTCCATGCATCCGGGAAGTACTAAAATGTACTGGGATTTGAAACAAAATTTTTGGTGGCCAAGCATGAAAAAGGAGATTGCAGAATTCGTCTCTAAGTGTTTGCAATGTCAGCAAGTGAAAACGGAGCATCAAAGACCAGCAGGATTATTACAACCCCTTCTAATCCCGAAATGGAAGTGGGAACATCTAACCATGGATTTTGTTATGGGGTTACCACGGACAACTCGGGGTATGAATTCTATATGGGTCATTGTTGACTGATTGACTAAGTCCGCCCACTTTCTACCAGTGAAGACTCAATACAATGCAGATAAACTGGCGGTCATTTATGTGAATGAAATTGTAAGACTACATGGTGTACCGGTCTCAATTGTATCGGATAGGGATCCAAAGTTCGTTTCCAGATTCTGGCAAAGTTTACAAGAAGCCATGGGTACAGAATTAAAGTTCAGCACAGCTTTCCATCCTCAAACTGACGGTCAATCCGAGAGAACAATACAAACTCTGGAAGATATGCTCCAGATGTGTGTGCTAGAGTTTCAAGAAAGTTGGGAAACCCATTTACCGCTGGTAGAGTTCGCATACAACAATAGTTACCACTCAAGTATTGCAATGGCACCCTATGAAGCTTTGTATGGAAAACCGTGTCGTTCTCTCGTATGTTGGGCTGAAGTAGGAGACAAATCCTTGATAGGGCCTGAAATTGTTCAGTTGACAACTGAAAAAGTTAAAGTTAATCGGGAAAGATTAAAAACGGCTCAAAGTAGACAAAAAAGTTATGCGGATAACCGACGGAGAGACTTGGAATTTGAAGTTGACAGTCACGTCTTTATAAAAGTTACTCCGATGAAAGGCCATCCACGATTCGGGAAAAGGGGGAAGTTAACGCCCCGCTACGTTGGTCCCTTTCAAATATTGGAAAGGGTAGGTCCGATAGCTTACCGGGTTGCTCTTCCGCCACATATGAGCCAAGTACATAATGTGTTTCATGTCTCTATGCTTCGGGGGTATCTTGCGGATCCGTCTCATGTTATTGATTATCACCAGATTGAACTAGATGATAAGTTAACTTATGAGGAAAAAACCAATCTGCATTTTAGATCGGCAAGTGAAACAATTACGAAATCGAGAAATTCCAATGGTAAAAGTGGAATGGCAGGAACATTACGGAACCGACGCAACTTGGGAAAGAGAGGGGGAAATGCAACATCAATATCCGCATTTGTTTCTACCCTAAGGTAAAACAAGTTTGAGGGACCAAACGTATTTAAGGGGGGGAGAGTGTAATAACCCGACCCTCGTACATGTTCTTTGTTATATTTTTGGATCCTATTTTGTGATTTGAATGCTTACTGTGAAATCCTATGGGAAATTTAAATTAAGTGAACCATATGATTAAGGATGTCTATCTGCTCAACAAGAAAAGTATCTGTTACATTAGAAGGTTTGAATTGAAATTGGAGGCCTTAAAGGCTTAATTATCTGAAATTGATTCTATGCATGTGATCAGCATAATTTTTAGGTAATATTAAGCATTTTTGGGAAATTTCAATTCCGGATGTTTAAACGATTGACTTTTGTCTTATTAGCTCTTATTGGCTCTTATAAATATGTATGTGTTCTTTAAGCTTAGGAGTGAGTTCAACATATTTCCTGGAAAATGATAGTAAGAGTAGAGAGAAGTGAGAAGGGAGTTCCAATAAAGGCTAGAGATTGAATAACCTAGAGAGACTTTGGGAGATCTCAACTCAAGGTAAGTTTGTCTATCTTTTATAATTCCTCTCTTGAATTTGAGGGTGATACAACCATGATAATTGAACCCAAGGTGTAATTGGATCATGTTTTATCCATTGGATGAGTTTGAACTAAGTTGTTTATGTATGTATGTGGAGAAATTAGTTTTGATTTCTTACTTTCTCATGAAAGATCATGAAGAACTTACCTTATATACATATGTGATGGTATATGTGATGTTGATGCAAAAAAGGAAATTGGATTGTGGGTGAGAGTTTAAGAACTCTTATGGACTTGTGTATGTTGAACTAAAGTATATTAGTTTGATGTATATAATTGTCATTGTATTCATGTGAATTTGGGTCATGTTTTACCAATTAAGAAAGTTATTTTGAGCCTTGTTCATGTTTTCCAAAAGATGGGATTTTGTAAGAATTTTCGGACAATTTTGGGCAGAATCGCCGCACGTGCGGGGATCATGGCCGCACGTGCAGGAGTCATGGCCGCACGTGCGGGAAATGGTGAAAAACAGGGGCTTGGCCACTGTCTAAAAGGCACGTGTGGGACATTTTGCCGCACGTGCGGGAGAGCTTGCCGCACGTGCGGGGCTCACAGCCGCACGTGCGACCCATGCTGAAAAACGTGGATCGCTCCGTTTTGCGTGTAGAACCCTCTTATGTTGGCGGAATATGTATTTGATGCCTTTAAGTATGTATAAATTTCTTCAAAGTAAAATGAAACAGAAAGTAATCTGATATGAAAAGGAAACTAAATTGTAAAGGTTGAATGTGTGCAGGGCACACTCCGGGAGGAACAAGCACATCATCACAACACTGCGAGTAGTAATATCATTATCCGCTTTACATATGGCTAATGATTTTCATTAGCATTTCGTTTACGCAACTATGTTAATGTTTCAAGTATGCAACTATGTTCATATTTCAAGTATGTATGTTAATGTTCAAGTATGTTCCAAGTATGTAAAGAAAGAAATGGGAAAGATAAAATACCTTCCTTCCATAAGACTCTGGGCTTGCAGCCATTCAATATAAGTTGTTATGATATGAAACTAAGTGCTACACGGAACTAAGTGCTACGACGTGAGCCACCTCTAGAATCCGTGTGAGACACCTCTTGAGTTCGTATAAGTATATTCAAGGGCTTAGTGCCAAAATATCCAAGGGCGTAACGCCACTCTGTTTAAGGGCCTTGTGCCACCATGTTTAAGGGCCAACGGTCCGACATGACCCCATAAACTGTTTTTCTACAACGGTCCGACATGACCCCATAAACTGTTTTTCTACAACGGTCCGACATGACCCCATAAACTGTTTTTCTACAACGGTCCGACATGACCCCATAAACTGTTTTTCTACAACGGTCCGACATGACCCCATAAACTGTTTTTCTACAACGGTCCGACATGACCCCATAAACTGTTTTTCTACAACGGTCCGACATGACCCCATAAACTGTTTTTCTACAACGGTCCGACATGACCCCATAAACTGTTTTTCTACAACGGTCCGACATGACCCCATAAACTGTTTTTCTACAACGGTCCGACATGACCCCATAAACTGTTTTTCTACAACGGTCCGACATGACCCCATAAACTGTTTTTCTACAACGGTCCGACATGACCCCATAAACTGTTTTTCTACAACGGTCCGACATGACCCCATAAACTGTTTTTCTACAACGGTCCGACATGACCCCATAAACTGTTTTTCTACAACGGTCCGACATGACCCCATAAACTGTTTTTCTACAACGGTCCGACATGACCCCATAAACTGTTTTTCTACAACGGTCCGACATGACCCCATAAACTGTTTTTCTACAACGGTCCGACATGACCCCATAAACTGTTTTTCTACAACGGTCCGACATGACCCCATAAACTGTTTTTCTACAACGGTCCGACATGACCCCATAAACTGTTTTTCTACAACGGTCCGACATGACCCCATAAACTGTTTTTCTACAACGGTCCGACATGACCCCATAAACTGTTTTTCTACAACGGTCCGACATGACCCCATAAACTGTTTTTCTACAACGGTCCGACATGACCCCATAAACTGTTTTTCTACAACGGTCCGACATGACCCCATAAACTGTTTTTCTACAACGGTCCGACATGACCCCATAAACTGTTTTTCTACAACGGTCCGACATGACCCCATAAACTGTTTTTCTACAACGGTCCGACATGACCCCATAAACTGTTTTTCTACAACGGTCCGACATGACCCCATAAACTGTTTTTCTACAACGGTCCGACATGACCCCATAAACTGTTTTTCTACAACGGTCCGACATGACCCCATAAACTGTTTTTCTACAACGGTCCGACATGACCCCATAAACTGTTTTTCTACAACGGTCCGACATGACCCCATAAACTGTTTTTCTACAACGGTCCGACATGACCCCATAAACTGTTTTTCTACAACGGTCCGACATGACCCCATAAACTGTTTTTCTACAACGGTCCGACATGACCCCATAAACTGTTTTTCTACAACGGTCCGACATGACCCCATAAACTGTTTTTCTACAACGGTCCGACATGACCCCATAAACTGTTTTTCTACAACGGTCCGACATGACCCCATAAACTGTTTTTCTACAACGGTCCGACATGACCCCATAAACTGTTTTTCTACAACGGTCCG